CTTGTGGGAATCAGTTCATTATTCTCATTTTTCACCACAGTCATCCCCCCTTTCTTGGGTACTGTTTGAACAGGACTCACCCAAGAACTGTCTAAGATAGGATAAATCATTGCAGCATCAAGTAGCTTCACCACCTCCTTCCTCACTACCTCCTTCATAGTGGGGTTGAGTATGCTCTGTGGTTGCCTTACTGGTTTGATTTCCTCTTCCATCAATATTTTGTGGGTGCAAAAGGAAGGATTGATACCTTTAAGATCTGAAAACTGCCATCCAATAACCATTTTATTCTTCTTGAGTACCTTAATCAACTTCACTTCTTCACTCTCAGATAACATTGCATTGATGATTACTAGATATGTTTGATCATCCCCAAGGAACACATACTTCAGATTTGAAGGTAGTTCTTTAAGCTCTACCTTAGGTGCTCCTACTGGAATGTCATCTATCTTCTTTTCAAGCTCTTCCACTACCGGTTCTTCTTGATAATTTTCTGTACATTTCTCCTCAAGAAATCTGTCTTCCTCCAATGAAAAGTCTTATTCTTTATTCACTTCTTCCACCATCTCCTGTATCACATCTAATCTGAAACAATCCCTCATATCAACAGGATGTTTGATGGCTTCAAAAACATCAATTGTAACGATTTCCTCATCCACCCTCAACAACAACTTCCCTTGTTCAACATCTATCAGAGATCTTGCAGTTTCTAAAAAGGGTCTTCCTAACAATAGAGGACTTTCGGTATCCTCTTCCTCCATGTCAAGTATCACAAAATCCACAGGAAAAATAAACTTGTCTACTTTTACCAAGACATCTTCAACCACACCTTCAGGTTTTTTAATAGATCTATCTGCAAGATGCAAGATAAGATTAGTTTCCTTCAGGGTGTTGATTCCCAAGGCTCTACATACCGTCAATGGCATCAGATTTATGCTGGCTCCCAAATCACAGAGTGCCTTCTCCACTTCCACATCTCCTATAGCAATAGAGATGTTGAAACTTCATGGATCTTGCAATTTTGGTGGAAGCTTCTTCTGGATCAGGGCACTACATTCTACTGTCAAGGCCACTGTTTCACCATCATTCAATTTCCTCTTCTTAGTAAGGAGATCTTTCATGAATTTGGCATAGTGGGGCATGTTCTCCAAAGCCTCAGAAAATGGAATGTTAATTTGCAAATTTTTTAAAATATCCAGAAATCTTGCATAGTGCTGTTTCTGAATCTCTTGCTTCAACCTCTGAGGGTAAGGAACTTTGGCATATGGAGACAAAGTGACTGGCTGGTCCTGCTTGTCAGCCATCTTCTTCTTCTCCCACTTCATTATCTTCTTGGGCACAACATCATTTTCAACTACCACCTTTTTTTCTTCCTTGTCTTCCGTCACTGTTTCTTTTTCTTCATTTCCTTTCACATTTTCTACTCCATCATCAGAGACTACATCTTCAACCACAACCTCCTCTTCATTCTTCTTATCCTCCATTCTTTTTCACCTGTTGGAGCACCAACCCACTTCTTGTCATGATTGCTTTGCAGTGCTCCTTAGGATTCACCATTGTATCACCAGGAAACTTCCCCTGTGGTCTCTCAGATATCTGTCTTGATAGTTGACCAATTTGGGTCTCTAAATTCCTGATAGATGCTTCCTGATTTCTAAATGAAGTCTTGGTCTCTTGCATGAAAGCAGATGTTTGCTCTCTGAATGAATTAGACCCCTGAATGTAATCTTGAGTAGTCTTGGATAACTGAGCAAAGGCTTTTTCCCATGCAGCAGTATCACTTTGCTGTGATGAGTGTGTTGGAGGAGGATGCAGTGGAGGATTCAACTGATGGTTGGAACTATAACTAAACCCTGGGTGCTAATTCTTGTTCTTCCATGGAGCATATACACATTTCGCCCCTGGTTGTTGTAATTCCTCTGGTTGTTGTTGTCATACCACACTCCATTAACTTCTTCTTGTTCTGATGATCCCCCATAATCACATTCTTCTGTCACATGGCCCTTCCCACAGATAGCACACACACACACTTGGTGTCCACAGAAGCAACCTTTTGTGAGGATAGTTGCTTAGTGAGAACATCCAACTGCTGTTGCTGTTGTTTCTGTGTCTGCATCAATTGGTCATTCCTTGCCAATAGGACATCATACCCATCCAACTTGATGATCCCTGCCCTTCTGTCAGGCACTGGGGCATTATCAAATTCCTGAGATGCCAATGATTCAAAGATATCCAAAGCTTCTTGAAGAGTCTTGGTGGTCAATGATCCACTAGCAGTGGCATGCACCAATGTCCTAGTGGTGGTGGTCATTCCTTGTAGGAAGATTGCTGCTTGTTGCCATGCCTCTATTCCATGCTGTGGACATTTCCTCAATAAAGTCTTGAATCTCTCCCATGCCTCATAGATGGATTCTGACTCTTTTTGCTTGAAGCCTGTAATTTCATCCTTCAACTTAGCCCTCTTGGATGCTGAGAAAAACCTCTGCAAGAACTTGGTTTGCAGATCATCCCAAGTTGTTATACTCCCCTGAGGCAATGATTGCAACCATCTCCTTGCATCATCCGTCAGTGAATAAGTGAATAGTCTCAACAGAATTGCATCCCTTGTGACACCATTAATTTTCACAGTATCACTCTACAGCAGAAAATTTTCTATGTGCAAGTATGGGTCCTCTGCACTGGTTCCAGCAAACTGATCTTTCTGTACCAGATGTATCAATGCAGGTTTCAATTCAAAGTTGTTTGGCTCCACTGTAGGGCGCACAACACTTCCAATGGGATGGATCACTGTAGGAGTCATGTAATCTCCCAGTGTCCTCTGTTCTGGTGGTGGTCTGTGGTTCTCTGCCATTATCTCTTCTTAGTTGACAGTACTGGATTCACCCCTTTCTTCAAACTGTCTTCTTTCTCTGGCTGCCTTTTTGTTCTTCCTCACTGTCCTTTCTAATTCTGGATCATACAACAACAAATTTGGATCAACCGTACCTCGCATACACCAGAATTAAAATTGACCAAAAACTTAACTAAAAGTAAAATGCTGAAAATAAAAGATTCAATCTCAGATTTCTATGGTATCAAACAATGTTGATAAACAAATCCCCGACAATGGCGCCAAAAACTTGTTGCGTATCTAGCAAGTGTACTAGTCGTACAAGTAATAAAATGATGAGTAAAGATCGTTCCCACAGAGATTTGTATTCAAACACCAATGAACCATAGAAAACTAATTTGAATTAAACAAAGGTTTGTAAAAATCATGAATGTTTTGTCACCAGAAAGTTAATTTGAAAGTAAATTAATTTAATACTAAAAATTTGAATTAAGATTTATAAAAAACAAGTAGTCAGAAAACAACTTTCCTCAACAATAAACTCATGTAAACTGATCATATGATGAACTCTTTTTCCTGTGATGTTAATCAACCTTTTACTTATCCTCAAGATGTAATCCCTTACTACCATGATAGATAGATTAATCAGAAACCCCAATCCCTTGGTGATTCCTTTCTTAATATATGCATGAAATACTAAGGTCTTAAGATTACATCAGAACTATAGCATCAATTCCTTAAGTACTATAATCCTGGTGATGAGATTGTCAGATATAGGAGTAGTGTAAACATTCCTGTTCTACATTCCTCCCTTAGTAGAAAGAATTGAATCAGAAAATCTCATATCAACACATGAAAAACACTTCATCATATTAATCAAATATACATAAGAATATCATTGAGTTCCATTGAATTCAAACTACAATGACTCTACTCAGACATAACTAAGGAAGATAAAAGAGAAGAAAGATCACACTCCATTTCCATGTAGTGAATCTTCAATCTCCAAGTGCAATTACAATAGAGAAACTAACTAATACAAAGATTAAGTTCTAAGAATTTTAGAGAGAAGTCAGATAAGAGAATCTGATATAGGCAAGAGAGAGAGACTCCAAATTTTCCAAATTGTGAAGGCCTTTGCCTTATATAGTTTTACAATTTAAAACAGAAATTTAATATGAGCGCTAAAATGTTCAGAATGAGCGTTTTAGCGTCCATGCTTGACGGATGCCCAACTGCTTTCAACTAACTTGAACGCTAAAACGTTCATGAATGGCCATTTTAACGTCCATGCCTTGTGAATGCTCAACTGTCCTCAACTGACTCCAGCGCTAAAACACTTGGTTTGGCCGTTTTAGCGTTGGAGACCAGAGGCTTTTTCCAACATCAGGGCGCTAAAACGTTCGTTGAAGGAAGTTTTAGCGCCCAAGACCAGCAACTTTTCGTCCTCAGAATGCAGCAGCGCGCTAAAACGTTCTGTGTGGACATTTTAGCGCTCAACACCAGCAAGTTTTGGCCTCTTTCTGCAGCAGGGCGCTAAAACGTTCTGTGTGGACGTTTTAGCGCTTAACACTTAGGCATTTTTCTCCTCTTCAAAATCTCCTTCCTTCTCCAGTTGCCTTTTTAGCTTGCTTTTCCTACAAGAACAATACAAATTCTCAATAAAGCTTCTTGAACTTGTAGTTGAAGAAATTCTAGGACATTAACCTCTTTTTCCATCATTTAATCACACAAATTGATACTAATTCATGCTCAAAAACTTGATGAACTAAGGGTTTATCAGTTTGCTGTCACGGAAATCACTCCACTGCTTCGGATTATCTAGAAGGTCTCTCCAAGGACTCAATGAAGAGTCTGGGTCCTTCTTTGCACTGGCTATAAAAAAAATCGGATTGGGATTTTTGGAATGCTCAAACATCCCAATCAACCAATTACTATAAAAAAAGAAAAGAGTATGGATCTATACTTATTGAGTGTTTCAGTTTATGTTACAAATCAATTGCAATCGTATCCAATTTCTCCAGGAGCCATTCGGGAGTTGAGCTATTGACAAAGAGTAATTCACCATTTATCTTTCTTTGAAAAGCTACACCTTTTGGATTCTACGACATTAAGTTGCACCAGATTGCATAAACAAATTTGAAGGAACCATCATCATTGCCAGATAGTAGAGGGGCAAATCGAAGGAGATGGATTAAGGAGAGAAATCCCTAACCTTTGTTGAAGGAACATCCCACCATTCACTGGGGTTATTAAGCAGATCCTTCCAAGATTTGTCTATGTCATGCTCGTCACTTTGCATGGAACGAACATCCTTAGTTGATTGATTGATGTCATGCTTTCCACTTGCTAATAAGACAGAAATAACATATTTCCAAAAACATGTTAGAGTTCATGGAAGTTATGGCTAAAGCAGCACACTGTTAAAAAATTTACACTTTCATTAAATATCCTTAGTACTTGATATCTTGCTTGATATTAAATTGCTCTGTGAGGTTATTTTCTGGTTCTGTTTTGGAGGATATCTTTCCCTCAGTTTCTTCTAATAAAATTTCTTTTATATTAAAAAAAAGGAAGATCCAATCAGAAAAATAAAATGAATAAAAAAGAAAATATTATAAAGAAATGTCATTCACAATTTATTATGGATGCATGACAATAACGCTATTGCCCCATATTTCCATTCTGAAAAAATAATTATTCATAAAATGATATTAAAAATGTGCTGCTAAATCAGAAGGAATGATTACCAGACACAGTCAACATTCTATCTTGCTTTGAAGTAGCAGATATATTCTTTTCTCGGAGATATCTTTGACAAAGTTGAGGCTTTGTACCATAACCTAATATGATTAAACCAAAGATGTGAAATTTTACACACTAAACAACACATATAACACACAATACATGAGACAAACATAAGAGCAAAAGGGAAAGTGCTAGCTAAAAACCATCTTCATAAGTAAATATAAAGAGACCTGAATATTATTAGTCTGAGCAGATCTTTGATCTACGAGTGGTGGATCAGTACTGAGTTGTCCAGCTATATGGATGATATCATTTTGTTGAAGATGGGTTTTCGCAGTAAAAGCCAAATCACCCTCAAATATCACCGGAATGCTTATATAAAACAACCAACAATTAAAAAAAAAACACTTTTGAGTAAAGAATATGAAAGAGAAATGCAAAGGAGGAATGAGGGAAAAACACTAACAAACGGTAAGGAGAAGAAGGGGACTCTTGGCGCCTGATAACGGTGGCAGCATAGGTGTTTCCGTCATCACATGTTTCAAACTGAACCGGCGTATAAACCTGACCGATGAGGTTCACGGCATTCGTAACCTTTGGCTGAAGTGGAATCTTCGTCGGCCTTGGCCTCACCGGCAGGGATTTCGACCTCCTCCGAGTGGCGGCAGCGGAGGCAGAGGCGGAGGAGGAGTATGATCGGAGAATGAGAGCTGACGCACGGAACACAGCCATTTTGGTCTTCCTACCAGAAACCACACATAGAACAATGAGAAGGCGTGTACATTTTGTTAAACGTTTAACAATTTCAACAGAAAGTAGGTGAACATTAATTGAGTTGTCAATTTTTAAAAATCAAATTTAAATTTTGAACTTCAAATTTCAAAAAAAGACGAGCTGTGTGGCAATAGAAATGCTAACAAATCTGAACCCTTGATTTGAGATACCAAATCATGTCCATCGATTTTGCTTCCAAATTATAATATCTTTTATATTTTTTTTATTCATGAATTATCAAAAAAGGAAACTTTTTAGATTTGTGTAGTGTGAAAGCAAACCTGAAACTGAAGGAGGAACAGACACGTGGCAGAAGTTTCCACATAATGGCTTTGTCTTAGAATATAAGATGGTATTCTTACACCTCAAACTCTACACCTATCCTTATCCTACATATGGAGGATACTTGTGAGTTAACTATTGGTTAATAACTATTTATCATTTGAACAACGGACTACTGTTCATGAATATCCAATATATGAATATGAACAATGAAGGCAGAGAATTACCACTCATGCAAGTATGCACGGTCAACAAGTAATATAATACGTGAGTTTAAAAGATCGTTCCTTTGAGGATTTATACAATTGCACACTTAACGAATTTTCTAAAACTCAATTAAAGTAGCCTGAGGTAAAATAAAATTGCAAGCAATTAAGCTAAATGTAGAACTGAAATATTGCTAAAAAAGTTAAGCAATTGGTTTAGTGAAACTTGTAATTACTTATTAAAGACTCCAAACCAAAAATCTTATCCAGTTACCTTTTTTTTCTTATTTTCCAAAACCCACTACAGCGCCTTTACTGATTAACTAATCCGCTACAGCGTTTTTGCACCTTCCAGCATTAGAACCTTAGTTCATTTATTTATTTTTTTGGATAATAATGGAATTAAAATTAACAAGTGTTACACAATCTGGTGGTCGATACCCCCATTAGATCCCTTGTCAAAAGGGTTTTGCAGACTTCAGGAGGTTCATGCAAAACATGCAATTCCCAATCTAAGTAACCATGTCCTAATGTTGCTAACTTGTCAGCAACCATATTCCCTTCCCTAAACACATGACTCACTTTAGTAACCCATTGCCTTCCCAGTAGATCGCAGATTCTGTTAACAATAGAGACCAAGGGATGTTCCACCCCACACCCTTTCTTAATGATTTCTACAGCCACCTGTGAATCTCCCTCTATCCATAACTGTCTGATCCCTGCATCCCAAGCTAGTTCAATCCCCAAAAGAAAGCCCCATAACTCGGCTCTTGTAGAGGAGCCATCCCCAAGGTTACGACAGAAACCGTATAGCCACCTGCCATCCTCATCTCTTAGCACACCCCCGCAGCTCGACTTCCTCCCATCATCACAGCTAGATCCATCAACGTTGACTTTGGACCACCCCACATCTGGGTATTTCCAGCAGATTAACCTTTCCTCCTTACCTCGCTTTTGGAGACCGTGAGCGATTTTGGCGTTATAAGCTTCTATGATATAATGCACATAGACTTTTGCTCCACGAATCACAGAAGGTTGGTAAGAGTATTTATTATCAAATACCAAAGTATTCCTAGCTTTCCAAATATGCTAGCACAGCACCCCAAAAAGATTACCCCAGTTAGTATTCTGGACTTTCTCGATACTTGTAATGTTTGTTGATAGCCAACGCTGGAATGGGGATGTGAAGAACTCATGATCCGCATTCCTTGGCAAAACACCGGCCTATAGAGCCCGACTCCAACTACAGTCCCTAAGCAAATGAAGAATATCCTCGCTGGACTCATGACATCTTGGACATATACTGATGTTAGCTAACATCCTAGCAAACCTGTTTGAGTTGGTCAGAAGTACGTCGTTGTAAGCCATCCATAAGAACGCTTGGATTTTTTTGGGACCCTTCCATGACCATCCAACATCCCAATTCTCCACACCAGCTACCCCATCATCATCAGTAAGTAGCCTATAGGCAGACTTCACGGAGAACAGCCCATCATTTGACAAACCCCACGTGACCAGATCAGAGCCATTCCCAGGCTTGGGAGGCATTATGTTAGCGATCGATGCACAGGATTGGGGGGTCACCACTTGGTTCAAAATATTCCATTTCCACTTCCCGTTACCGTCAACCAGCATGCTCACAGACCAAGATTCGGACTCCTCTGACAGAGAAACACCATCTTTTAGTTGAACCTTGCTATTATTGGCAAGCCAATTATCCCTCCAGAAACTGGTTTTGATCCCATCCCCTAAGTGTATTCTGGAACCATGAACAACCTTCGGCCAAACTTGCAAAATTCGGTTCCAAAGATTTGAGGGTTGACTACAAAGCTTCAGCGAGGGAGTCAGCATGTCTTACACATGATATTTATTCCTAAGAACCTGAGCCCAGAGTGAATTTTCCTTTGTGAGCAGCCCATGGCCCAGCTTCATGAGAAACGCCTTATTAGTCTCCTTCATCCTTTTTAACCCAACACCTCCGTTCCTTTTAGGTTGACAAACTCTATCCCAAGCCATCAATTGAACCTTTCTTTTATTGGGGGTAGATCCCCATAAGAAGTCTCTTGCCTTGCGTTCAATACTGGTACAGGTGCTCGCAGGCAAAAAGCACGTTTGCATGGTGTAAGAAGGTAAGGCCGAAATGACAGATTGGATCAGCGTCGACCTTCCCGCAAAGGACATGAAATTTTCCTTCCAGCTGCTAAGCCTCTTATCGATCCTACCAAGGATATGGTTAAAGGTTGACGGTCCCACTCTATCAATAAAAAGAGGAATCCCAGGTACTTTCCCATGTCCGAAGCAACAGCGAAATCCAGTGTTTGTGCAATCTCCCTGCTCTCAGATGACACACATTTCTGGAAAAACACACCCTTGTTTATCTTTGCTTATTTTCTGACCAGAAGAGTCCCCAGAGCACCTTAAGACGTCTGTGATGAGCTTGGCCTGTTCGATAGAAGCCTCCGCAAAGCGTAGAAGATCATCGGCAAAGAACAAATGGGTTATGGGTGGGCCATTCCTTCTTAACTTCACCGGTTTCCACCTTTCCAAGTTAGTAGCTTCCAGAATCAAATGGGCCAACCTTTCTATACATAGAACAAACAGATAGGGTGACAAGGGATCACCCTGCCTGATTCCCCTGGTCGGTGTGAACTCATCCGTATTGTGGCCTTCCCACAGGACACTCATGGATGCTGAAGTGATCCCCTCCATGATGATGTCGATAGTTTTACCTTGAATCCCAGCTTCCTCGAGAGTCTGGCGGAGGAAAAGCCAATTGACTCTATCGTAAGCTTTTTCCAAGTCCACTTTGATCGCCATCCATCCCACCTTACCTTTTTTGAACCTCATGGAGTGAAAAAACTCTTGAGCTATGATGATGTTGTCTTTATGTCATATGCTTATAGATTATGTCATATGCTTATAGATTATGTCATATGCTTGTAGATTATGATTAATGATATGATTGCTGGTATAAACAGACTGTGAGAGTGCTGTTTGTGGACCTTGGACTTGGTTGAACTCTTGGTTGGATAGTTAGCTTGCCAGGTAAGCTTTCGTGTCCTCGGTTTAGCCATTGTTGGTTCCACTATACCCCATGGGGGAGTAGTTTATTTGCATGATGTGTTTTCATGTATTGATTTTAAAATGTTGTTGAGCTGTTATATGCAAGTGCCTTATGATATGCATGTGTTTTTCTACCTAGACGGTAAGCCTGTGTATGTAGGAGACATACCATAGGGTGATTCTGTGGGTGGGTGCAAGTAGTGACTTGCACTGATTGTAGGTAATAAACGTATGTAAATCCTGCATTTCTCTGGCCAGTAGAATATGTGACACACATGACATGATTATTCTACTGCATTGCACTAATTTTGGAACTTATACTTGATTTACTAGTTTTATAACTTATATTGCACATGTAAGTGAGGTTGGGGTGGAGAAATCCTTGAGGACCCCTTATCTTACTGAGATTTATGTTTAGAGATCTCACCCCACGTTTGGAGCACATTTTCAGGTTCAGGTAACTCGGGGGTTGATACCTCGCGCGGTAGGAGGCCAGAGCTAAGTTGAGATATATACTATTATTGGTGATATGCTTGGATGCTGACATGTTCTTCATTTATTATCTTGTTGTTTGATTTGAGACTCTGTTGGGCTTTGTTGCCTTATTTGGTAAGCATGGGGGTTGTCCATGCCACATTGTTTTGACTATGTTTTATTTTAGTATTGAGTTGTATAATTGTATCATGATTATAGTCCAGACTACTTGTTGTAGTTTCGTGGCTTAGATACTCATTTATTATACTATGAGGTTATTCAGTGTAGAGAGCTGTCTATTTGCAATTTACATACAGGCATTATTTTGAAAAAGGATTAAGTAATCAACTTAGTAATTGATAATGATGTCATAATTGAAAAGAAAAAGTTTATTCCGCATTTTAATTAAGCAACGCTTAATACGATGACATGATAACAAACCGGGTATACACGGGGTGTTACACATGTAACATCTTGAGCGCTGACGAAGGCAGGGAGTGATCGCCGATGCGAAAGGGTATGGACAAGGAGCGACTCCTGACAGGCTTCCAGCGGGGGGTTACATGCATGAATTAATCGAATCAACACCCGAAAGATAGGGATTCCAAAGACTGTGCAGGTATGAGACTGCACAGTTTGGGATAGCTTATAAGAATTAATTGATACTATTATACTAACAAGATGCATCTAATTTTTGGTAGCCCGGAACGGAAAAACTCCATAGTTAAGCGTGCTTGACTTAGACCAATTCTGCGATGGGTGACCTACTGGAAAGTTTTTCCGAGAATTGTGCGAGTGAGGAAAAAGCACACTGAAAAGTCTCGTGTTAGTATGTGGGGATAGTCATTGATTCTTGAAGCGGTCGGGCATTACAGTCTTCATTGCTTGTAATGAGGTTAGGCTAGGTCAATGGTTTTTCTGATTACTTGGTTG